AGGAATAAGCATTCCAGTATACCACCCCAACCAGGCAAAATACAGTCCAATTTTTTCACCAAAATATCGCCTACATGAAAAGGAAACACATACAGTGTTTAAAGTTAAAACTTATATCCATCTCTATCTTCATAGTAGTAGAATAATTCTAATGAGGAACTACCATTACAAGTTTATGGCAAAATTACTGTCAGTTTACCAAAACATTTTATTTCAGGCTAGCATATCATTCTAGTGGAACTAATTGCAGATTTACCAGAAGGACAAGTTATAAGGATATAACTGAAGTGTTCTGTAATTTTCACATCCTTGCAATGATTAAGTAGATGTACTAGTTTCAACATTGTTAAATGTAGAACATTTATTTTGTACACAGATACACACAAAAAAAACACCCAAACCAAAATCTCTGGAAAGGGTTAAAGTAAGCTAGTATGACCTAAGTATTCCATTAGAAAAAGCATTTATCATTGAAATATGTCATATTACATGATCATCTAACTATTATTAGAGAAAACAATGTACTGAAAACACAATTTGAAGATGGAGCTTTAATTCTTCAAAACTTGGGTATCAGTTGTTAGAAGAGATGAAGTAGCAGTGATCAGAAAGTCAGTCACGGAAGATATTATTTTATCAGCACAGAATTGTATCATGGCACATGCTTAGCTCCACAGCCTGCAGTGGAACAATACTGGGCACAATGATTGGTTATGACTGTCAGATCAAGAATAAAAACTGACAACAAGGAAAAATGAATTAATGGTATTCAATGTCAAAGATGAGGGAAGTATGAAACCCTAACATTACAATTATTTAACTTCAATTACATGTATTTCTCTGCTTTACATTCGGTAATCTATGACGTTAATTATAAGATATATAAACAGAAGTGTATTTAAACCCACATGGAAAAGTAACAATTAGGCTGCATTTTCCCTCCATTGGATCTGGTAACTCTGACTGTCCATGTGGGTAACAGTTTTTGCTCTCAAAGATGCTCTCATGATCAGCAGATCACTTCATGGGTTTGTATTTTAATTTTCACACTGCGAATTGTCAAGCAGCTGGATCTATGTGCCTTTTATGCAGCCTCATTTGAAATTAACAGCCCCGCATAAAAGAGCATCCAAAAGAAGCAACTCAGAGAATTCTAATCTTATCTGATAATACTGAATCATAGCTAAATTTTGTAGGAAAGTATAAGGATGAGGAATTTCGCAGTATGGTTAGTGCACTGTTACCAGGTAATTTGTATCACAGAAACAAGCTACTCATCAAAGTAATAATACCTGATTAAATCAAGAGGTTGGTATTTGTACCACATTCCCCACCGTGCCCAACGCTCATATAAGAGGTGTCTGTGATTCTGAGCTCCGTGTGTTTTGATGGGATGTCTGCTTTTGTGGCTTCCCTGAAAAACACAAAGAAATGAAAATATACTAGTAGGCACTATGGAAAAGATATACATTTCTTTGGTATTTGATTATAATTTAAAATGAGGAGTTCACTATTTTTAATTAAAAGGCCTCATATTAGGGACACCTCTAGGACATGCCATCTGGAGCTTAACACATAAGCCTGACAGAAGAGATGAAGTTACACATGCTTCTGAAACAGCCAGTTTCTCTAATCAATGACAGAACCATACTAATACAAGACTAGACATAACTAGTCAACACTTTATATGACCTCAAGTACAGTGTTTCTATTTCACTAATATGTTTATTTGTATGCTTCCATCTATTTCAATTTTTCAAATTTTTTTGAGATGTATTTGTGTTATCTTTTTTTCTCTTCTATAAAAATTCAGAAATTTCTGGTACGTCAGCTTGGTTCTCCTCTCCTAGAAATTTTCTACAACTCTAATTAATTCCCATTTAAAAGTATAGAAAACCATAGCCTTTCTGTGGTACATGTTTTCAAAAATGATGGAAAAAACGGACCTGGTGTTACTTTGAAACCTACACAGGATGCTCAGAGGCATTAAAAGCAAAACAGAGAGTCAGTCTGTCCCAAAAGGAGTTCCTCCAGGCCGTGTCTGACATTTACAGACTACCTGGCAGCCTGAAAGAATAGCCTCATACTCAGCAGTAACACACAGATAACACACAGATTCGGGTAACACACAGATTCATTAGAACCACCCAAATCAGAATCTCTTGTATTTGCAATTTTACTTCAATTCTGAAGCAGGACATCTCCTTCAGTTAAACTTTTTCCAAAAAAAAACCCCACTACTCAGTTATGGTGAAGAAAATCTGTCTTCAAATAACTGCAAGTGAGCCAAATAATTTCTTGGGAAGAGCACAGAGCTCCCCAGAGTTAGCAATCAGACGAATACTTGACCTTGGTAGATCCAAATAATTTAGCCATTTAGATTTTTATCATTTACTTGAAATCTTGAGCATTCCCCGCAATTGAAAGAACACAATTTACTTGTTGCAATCTGCTGACCCTCTGGTTTAAGTATAAGTTAAAAACAAAGCTAAACACAGAAAAGAGTTCAATTCTACTAAATTTCTCATTAGTCAGCAAAGCAGCACACAAAAAAATGTCAACACAGAGTGTGACCTTTGCAACGTCTAGGAACAGAACATCAAGTTATGCTCACAGTCCCTTGCATGAATGACTGCAATGCATACAGTATTACCCAGTATTGTGTATTTTTTAAAACCTCTCCACTGCTTCTTTCTGTACTATTTATCCATAACAGAGTTCAAGTCTCAGCATTGTCACGGGGATTGAATTTTCACTCTCATTTGCTCATATGATAAAGAAAAAATAAAAATTGAGTGTTCAACCACTAGCCCTTAGCACCAGTCAAGCAGCAATTAAGGTAAGAATGGCTTAGAAATATGACTTCATAACCTCAATTGAAACTTTGAAAGAGTAGCTTATGCCATAATAAAGGAACCTATATAGAAAATGGATATAACAGCATGGTTTTGACAGCCAGAGAAAGCTTCACAGGTTTTTCCAGTAGTATGGCCAGCTTTTCTCTGAACTCGGTACTGCACAGCTGAAGCGTTAACAATTATGTTCAATTATTTATCTAAAATACTCCGTCTCTATATTCCCAGTATTTCATTATTAACACCATATAAAAAAGCTACTCTCAGCAATTTGTAAAGCACAGGTCAATCCTTTGAAAAACAAGACCAAGTCACAATATTCAGCAATCACAGAAGTCACAGCTGCAATCACCATGCTACTGACAGTGTTTAAAATGGCTTGCTTCTTTCTTTTCCATACACAAAGATTGTCTGAAAACCCTCTGAAGTCAAACATAAGTTTTTCATTTACTTCATGGGTTTACAGTCTTCAGTAGACTTTAACCTACTGAAGAAGTAACTTCTACTTGAGAATAATGCAGAACTATTCAGAAAAGACTAAATGGAAAATAATTAACCAGTGTCTCTAACTGTGATCAAGCGCACAAGCTACTAGAAAAACAGAACATTTTGTAGGTGGCAGCCAAAATAATTTAGTAAAACTAATTGGAACAATTTGGAAAAACTGATGTTCTCATTAAGAACTCCATAGGCAATGTCTGGTTCATAAAAATAAAAAAAAAAGAATTATAATATTCTAGCTCAGTAAGAAAATGTTCCAGGAAGTTGTCATGATGCATTACATAAGAAAAATTTTAAAAGTTAATATTAAAGTAAGAGCTATAAATAAAAAAAGTCTCAACAGATTACATAGTGAAATTAAAAGTTATCAGGACAAAATTAAAAATAAAGTAGGATTTCAAAACATTAATGCAAGTTTTAATCTAAATATAAAGACAAATACAAAATTAACCAGGTTACCTCATGTGGTGGAAATGCTGCTTCGTATGTTCCATTATTTAGTAATCTGTTAATACCTAAAAAGAAGAAAGCCTTAGTTCTGATATCAATTTTTTATACACATTTAATTTCAAGCAGCACGAATTTTCAAGTTACGTATTGAGAATATAGTGCTGCTAAAACATGACAGTAATCAATAATCCCACCATCAACTGTTTGTGCAGGGCTTGCTGATCCCTCGAGACTTGTAGCTCTACCAAACTACAGCAACTTTCTGAGGGCCAGTGCAAGTGGCTTTTCCCTCAGGGTCGGGTGCTTGTGCCACATCAAGTGTGAGAAGATGGTTACATTCATGTTGTATTCATCAGAGCATATGATACAGATTTTATGGGTGACCAGATGATCTGACACGCACAGGCAGTGGTACGGACAGACAATCCTTCAGGTAACAAAACCCCTGAAGGTTTAATAGCTAACCTGTTTTTATTTTTAAATATAAACCAGTTGAGGGACTTTGTATCAGAACAGTGCTCTGCACCATACTGGCTACGGCATTTCGGATCAGTTTCTAGAGTCTTCCTAAAACCAGATTTGTTGATATACAAATCAAATATACAAATTGTGCTAAACTAATCTCATCATGAAAGTTGCCACCATCAACTTCAAAGGCATTAGATTTGACCCCTTGTTTTCTATGGTTTTCTTACTAATGCTTTTCTTCAGAAACTCAATCAACAACTTTCTGTAATTTCTATCATCTTCATAAGGTTTCAGTATGTCTATATATGTTTAATTCTTAATTTAATTTCTGCAAAGCAAACAGGAAATCATACATACATCCCCTGTTCATTGCAAATGAAAATGGTCAGTTAGACTTTCTAAAAAATAATTATATAATACAAGTGTTACATAAACTGAATTTAGTCCTCAGTTCAACTGTCTCTGAGCTGTACGGCAACTTCAAATAAGTGAAGTGCAGCTCACGTTAATTCTGCTGGACTGGAACTCCTGGGTAGTAGCAGAACTATTGGGACCAGTCCTTGAAAACACTCAACAGTTATCTGAGGTATAGGTTATCTTTACTGTGGCTCTTGATCATGTAAAGTTATCATAATCTCTCCAACTTATTTTAAGGAATGTGTAATTTGCTGAAAAACACTGCCAATTTTCACTGAGCTATTTAAGAAAATAATTGATGTGACATTCCTTCAACTCTACTACTGAGCAAATAAAAAGATTTCAAGGAACGGTAAAATTAATCGAGTTTACTCCAATGATACTTTTTCAGGCAAGTAAAGATATAAAATTTTCATAGCTTCAGGTTAGGAAAAAAATACAGCATTCTTACCCATTTTGGATTTTCCATCTTCATACTTAGTTCTCTGTAGCATGTGATGTACAATTCTACTTCTTGTGGAATTGCTGAAGAAGCTGTCTTTGTTGTTTATTGTAAAACTATTAAAATAATGAATATCTTTTAATATTCAAAACAATGCACAGGTGTTCAGAAATAGCTGCTCAAGTGATTTCTTCTTACAGTGATTTATTGGATCTTTACTCTCCTTGGTTACTACACAAGATATTAGATTTTACATCTCTGGAGCATCTTCTCAGGTCTAAAAAGTTTACCATCATTACAGATTGCTGTTGGGAAAACAGCAACTAAAACAAAATTCTAAAATATCCTACTATCTACGTAATTTCTGTTCTGGATATAATTAATTAAAAGCAGATCTTCAGAATCAGTGGTTGTTCTCAAATTTAAGTAACTTATGAGTTAGCAGATGTCTATGTCATGGAACTACCAGAACTACCAGCCCATGCACTGGACACTTGAGTAGCAGCTCTACCACCAGTTTCTCTTAGAGAATCGCAGGATGGAGCCAAATAAAGTGTCCTTTCCCAGATGGCTCTGGATTCCAGATGTCAGAAATCTGACATGCAGGAGCTTTTGCCTACTCAGCTGTGCCAAAAGTGACATTATTACAGTTGATAACCTCAGCTGACCTAATTGAGAAATAACACTAAAACCAATTAATAACAGTAATCCAATTACTGAAAAAAAAAAAATATTATAATGCAATTACTCTGTCTTTCCAGGGTAAAGTCAGTCCAGTAGCATATAGCTTCTTTACTGAGAAGAAAAAAATACCTATTTAGCCTAATTTATACTTGTACTTCAAATTAACTTTTCTCTCCTAAAAGAATTATCACAAAATACTTTAAAAATGAAGAAACAGCCAGAATTTTAAAATCTAACCTTTTGGGTCCTGAAAAAATTTATGGCACAGTTTAACTACATCACCATCAACAGGTTGATTTAAACACATATGGTTTTTATTTGGTGTATATATATTTATACTTCTAGAGACAAAAGCATTTTAAAAATGCAAATCTGATAAGAAAGAAAAAATCATCATTGGTTGTAGCTTGCCTCCAGGTGTTCCCAATTCCAATGGTTGCCTCAGGTTTTGCCTAAGTAAAACATGTAATCAAATAAAGCAAACTTGAGCAAGTATTTGCATTTTGTAACGTAATGGAAAGAAAAACTTCTAAACCAAAAAGGCAGTGTTCATTTTTCGGTCAAATTTTTGCCCATACTACTGAGTGATCATCAAATTGCAAGTATCAGAGAGCAGGTTTTGGCTTTAAGAGAAAATCTATAGAAAATATCAAATACTATACTGGGTATTTGCCAGTGACCATCTGCTAAATGGCTGCCTCTATGGCACTTGCTTAGAAGTGAGAAAATAAAAAAATCCTTGTGGTCTCTGGCACTGCCTTTTCAGTTCCAGCACTTACTGGTGTATGCGTGCACGGCTAAAGGGTGCTGTGTAGCAATCTGTTTCTTCCAGATCAGGTAGGGCCTCCTTATCAAGCTTCATTGGGTTTCTGGGCAACCAACTTTTCAGCTCTCTCATATTCCTCTGCAAACTGAGACAATAGGAAATCAGATTCACACACTCTCACCTGCTCGTTGTTTCTATCTCCAACATTGCATTATTTAGTGACATCATACTAGAAATGAAATGAAAGCAGGAAATTTCCATGTTAAGTAACTAAAAGAAAATATGGAGTGAAAAAGCAAAATTAACAGTATTTATTTGTGATCTATCTTGCACACTTCACTCAAGCACAATTCATCCTAGAACTAGTGGGATTATGGTTTGAGAGGGGACGGCAGTGTTGAGTGAGTCTGGGAAAATAATTTTCCGAGCTAGTTCATCTGGTAGAACTGTGGATGCTTATGCTTTACTCAAGAACATCTCTAATTACTTTCTCTAGTCCCACTGGACAAGGTAAGTGTAACTCCTCCTCCCTCCCTTGCCTGGCAACTCACTAAAATTCATAAAATTTGAAAGTAAATGCAAGACTGCTCAGGATCAAATTTTTATGGTTTTCTGATTGCAATAAACCCTTCCTCTGCAAAATTTTCCTCAAAAATACAAGGGCTGACATTGCCTTACAAAGCAGTATACCTAAACATCAAATAAAATAAAAGTTACACAGATATATCTATACGGCATTTAGACAAAAAAACCTAGGTATGGCTTCCTGCAGTTTCCTAACAATTGACATTATAAACCACAAACAGAACACAATTTTAGTATCCCCAATTAGATTATATACTGGTAACATAAAGGATTTTCTTCTATTGGCAACTTGCCTAAATAGTGTCTCAGGACATGGTTTATACATGGGTAAATCTAGTGAAGTGCAGTCAATTTTCAAGCAAATGCTAGAAGTTACCTCCTTATCACTTCAGTTTTGCACTTCTTGCTGACCTATATTTTTTTAATCTTCAACTGCAATGAAATATAGGTATTTAAGGAGTGGGTCTCATATTAAATGAGTGCTATATTACGACACTATCAGAGATCCAAGAAAAATGTAAATTTTAGAAAAATATTCCCTAAATAATATTTTTGATTTGGGCCTTACTCAATGAATATGTATGCATGCTATATAAAGCATATATGTCTCATATCCACAAAAAGTGTAAAGCTAAGCATCAGATTTTTTTATCTGAGGTGAATACTTAACTGCCTATGCTAAGCAGAAGCACAGCTACCTATTTCATAATTAAGAGTAATAATTGCTTACGCAGTAAGTTGCTCTCAGGCAGCAAAGTGACCTTTGTGAAATGTACCTCTTATCAACACCAGTAAAAAAAGTTCTGCCCCTGTTTGACACAGTGTCAGACAGAAATCCAAGTCAAATGTGGGGTCAGAATTTTATGTTTACATTTAAAATTCTCAACGTTTTCCTCTTGCTATACATTGCCAAGGTACTGGTGCACTCTCTGTATATAACTGGTACTGCACTTGAGGGACACCACTCTGACACTAAGCATTATGAGCCAAAGAACATAACTCTGTTCATAAAGCTGAAACACAGAATACAGTTGTCAGGAAGATGCATCCCTTAAGCGTGTCCTTTACTCAAATAATACCTTAAGCTCATTATTTTTACTGATTCCAGTGGAAGTTCTCTCAGTACAGTTATACACAGTGTATGTAAGTACAGTTTTCACTTTCTTGGCTTCATCTTTTTTTCTGTTGTACACATGCTGATTTTTTTTTAGAGTCAAAAACTAGATTTTTCTTTAATGAGGAAAATACCCAGACGTCTCAACAAAAATAATCCAGCAAGACAGGCCTCTTTTCTTGGCTTACTTCATTTTACAGTTGGAGGAGAAACTGAAGTTTCATGGAGCTTTCATTCAAAATGATAAATTTAAGACAAATTTTTGCCTAAATCATAGGACTCAGTATTAGCATTTTTACTCAGAGTGGCTTTCGAAGTCAAAAGTAGCAGTTTAAACAGATTCCTGACTTAATCTATTCAGTCTAGTCTATTTAATAAAAGTAAAGGCAGACAGACTGGTCTGGTGAAGTCACTCGTGAAGCCAGTTTATGCAATGAGATCAAAAATGTCTCAGTGGAACAGTGCAGCAAAGATACCGGCCGCTACTTCAGGTACTCCAACTCTTATTGAAACCACTCCAGCTGGCGCTACTGTAACGTTATGCACATTGAACTATAGGATATTATTCTGAAACATATATACATTTTATTCTTAGATACAGAATTTAATATTCTATGAAAATTCCTGTAATTTCAGCTTTGCTCAACTTCTATGCTCAACTGTACTGTTCCGTTTTATTTGGTTGGTTGTTCTTTTTTCCAGAACTATTTAGTCCAAAAATGCAGATTACGTTTACTCAGCAGTCTGCAATGCAAAGAAACACAGTATAGGTGAGTTTGGAATTATCTGATCAGACTCATGGAATGAGATATTAAAATTAAGCAACTGTCACTGGTAATGTCAGGTATTTTTGACAGCAACCACCACTTGGTAGGTTGTTCGGTGTTTGTGCCTCTCAAGACTGGCCAGAATTGTCAACCATACGCCACTAAATCCCATGGGTGTGGTATGTTTCCATGGTTTGTAATGAGAAACATGTTAAGGTTGACAAATTCAAAAAATCATCACCAAAAAGAACGAAATAATACCATGTTTATTCAATGGCATGATAATAACAATTTTACTTCAGTGTGCAGATAGAAATTCAAAAGGTTTTAGAAGTTCTTTTGCAAAGCAAATTTATTGCAGCTCAGTTGCTAAACAAAGTCATTTTTGGTTCTCTATCCTTAGAAGTATAAATTTATTTCAACATTTCAGTGGGCAGTGAAGCTGCATACTAAGGCAACTATCTTTTAATTTTCTTTTCCTCAATGTCATTCTTAATCAGCATGAAATCAGTGTGTTTGATATGGCAGGCACAAGGCTGATTCATTAGATTATTCAGTCTTAAATCTGAGAGTTCAGAAAGTTTTTGATACCTACATTATTTACTTGCATATCTCACTTCTAGCAACTTCCTTTTATTTGAAAAGGTTTGCTGAAGGCTTTCCAAGCATTGCTCTTCAGGAGTATGATAAAATTATTTCTACAGTGTGGCCCCATGAAAGGAGTTCAAGCTTAATAGGATTAAGTACAATGTTAAAGATGGGTTTTTTTTAAGGTATGTAAATAAAGAAATACAGAGGTATCACATAGATATCACATATAAGAAAGGTAGTATACCAGCATGCATTACATTTATCTTCTGTCCTTTCATTCATGGTCCTAATAATCTTTTTCATATTTTTTGGAAGGACTTTTATAGATATCTACATATATCACATAACCATGTCAGTAAATTCAGTGAAGGGTACATGTCACAGCAGGGTCTAATATACTAATGTTACCTTATACTCTTCAATTATAGAAACTCTATAGCCTTAAATTTTACCTTTGATATACAAGGTCTTTAATATAGTTCTTCATTGTAGCTCTTGTAAATGCCGCTTAATAACTTAGAAATATTAATGAGAGATTTGATAAATTACAGAGGAGCAGTTAAGTTTGAAAAGTTAAGAAACAAAGAAACAATGACAGTAGTGTAAGTTAAAATGGTGAGATGTGTATGTCAGCAATTTTAGAGTTAGCTTTCATGTTCAGACGTAGCTGCTTTTTTTTTTCTTTTTTTCTTAGCATTCCTTTGTGCACTTTATCATATAAAGTGACAGAAAAAATAGTTAGAAAAATATTCATCCCCAAATTCTCACAAAGTCTCAAATGAAAAATCAATCTGGCACGAAAAGTGTTTATCACTTGGTTCAAATTCAGTTGTATGTTTTGGACATCTGTCCTTCTAAAAAAGGAAAATAAATTTATTTAATATCTAGAACTCACCAGATGGATTACAGATGAAATGAAACAATTTTGCAGTAAAGCTTGTTGATTTTGCCTTTGCATTACAAAGTACATCACTTACATTTTTCATAATGCACACTAAAATGGAGCAAGGATGCGAATGACTGGGAAGAAGGAAAAACGCAGTTGTAAATTTATATTATAGATTGGCTTATTTCAATATATTTTATCTGCTGATGTGTTTAAAACTTTCTCACTTTACCGTTCAATGGTGCTTTGTCTACTTTTGTCAGCTGATCATCTTGCAAACTGATATCATGAGACTACTTAAATTGTTCCTGAGAAATAATGAGAGCTCTTCATCACCTAAAGTAACAACAGGAGAACCTAAATCAAATGTAACCTCATCTCGAGATCCACCTTGAGAAAACCCACGATAGAAAACTCTTTCAGGAGATTTCCCTCATGTAAAAATTTTCATATTTTATCCGTAGGTAATTAGGATTCACAAGAAATCATTATGTCTGACTAGAGCAACAGGGAGTGATTAGGCTACTTTCGCCCACTGCTGTGGCCTCTTGTACCCTTCTCCTGGTGGACAGAAGCAGCAACAACAGCAGCAGCCGCAGGTGAGGTTTCCACGTGCCTGCCTCCCAGAGAGTTAAACACTGCAGCGTATAAGTTATTCTGTCAGTTATCAAATAAAAATTCAAAACAGCCTTCAGTGTGTGGCATCGATTTAGCCCTGATCTCCAGGACACACACAACAGAAGTTACATTTGCATGTCTAAGGAAATAGCTGACTACCAGAATCTGAGACATACACTCGAAAGTAGCTTTCATGCCAAAGATATATGCCTTGGTAACAGCAGACATAACTGTAGGGATAGCTCCAGTATTAAATCTTTGCTGCCAGGATGAAGCCTTTTTTTTTTTTTTTCCTGTCATAAACATTTTTGCATTTCTAAAATGAGAGCTGGCAAAGCTTTAAAGTACTGTATTTTGTTACAGATGAATATTTTAACACTTTGAGCTAACATATTTTGAGTTTTCAAGAAAATAATCTAATTTTCCAAGTTTCTTGGATAAATTTACAACTGCGAATAGATTTTCTTTAGCAGGGTGACTATCTGACAAAATTAGAAGCTACACATCACCCACCAACCTGCCCATGGTTTTGCTCCTCCAGTCAGTGTAATAACATTTTTTCCTGAAAGAACAGCAAAAATCAGCTGAGAATAATCAAGTAGGAGACAGTTGAAAAGGACACATACATTATAAAAGAACACATACATTATAAAAGAACACTGGACATTTTAAAGCATGCATTTTCGTAGGCAGAAAGGTGAAAAACACTTAAAAAAAAGGCAACTGAAATAGAATAAGTCATTAAAATGCTGCAATTTCACAAATTGTCAGGTTTTAAATTTGTTTCTGAGTCAAAATTAAATTTCAGACTTGAAGCTAACAATAATAATAGCTAAGCAGTAATTTATTCATAAGACATCCATCAGACAGAGTTCCATGTTGTCATTGTTAGTATTCATTTCATGTGATCTTTCTTAGCTTTTATTTCAGAAAACTCATTTTAGAAGAATCAACAGGGCTTCCATGCTATTAAACGCTTTATGCACTCTATGCATTAAATACCACAAGCGCTTAACGCCATTAGATACTATCTCCATTCTCTGAAGTGGTATACCACCACTTTCCCTTGACATTTTGCATCCAACACATGGGCCCTAAAAATCTAAGAGTACTAACTGCAACAAACAACTTTCATGTTAACTGTTCTCTTCTCTCCATCTTTCACTGCTCATAGACATTTAGAGAAACAAGACCAGAAATTCCCAGTAAAGTCTTTTGAGAACACTTATTTTGAAATCATACATAGACATATTTGCTGCAGTGTATTATTTTGCACATCTTGTTTCAGGTTTTCAGTTTTTTTCCTGGCCTCATCCTATCTTTTCATGTCACATTTCAGGCCTCGATCTTGCAGATTCCTTGGGGTATCTGTATCTTCACCATGATACTCATCTGGGGAGAGTGAAGTTCAGCACAAGAGGCTTTCCTCCTCACTTAGCTCATCTTCTACTTAAAATTTGCCTAAATCCTTACTACTTCTGCAAGGTTTATTTTTTAGAAGGAATTAAACCTAGCTTATTTGGATACATTATTATGAAAGTTTAACATTATTTTCATTTGATATTTATCCCCTTCTCCCCCCATTCTAATACACACAAAAATGATACCTTCACTCTGGATACTTCTCCATCAATTCTTAGCCCAGAACCATACATAGTTAAAAAGATCTGCAACTTCCCATCTGGGCAGTATTTGAGACTGATAAAAGTATATTACTTACATTAAAGTAAAAATGAAATGAATACATTAAAAGGATTGAGGAGAAAACATTGCCTGGAAAATATGGGAAAACTATGTATCTACCAATCTGCAGGCTGTTGACAGCCTGACACTTGTTACTACTAGGCAGAATTGTAAACCAAGCAACGAAGAATTATTAAACGATTTTCAGACATTACATTTAAAAAAAAAAAAACTTTCTTCATTGTCTTTAACTGCCTTTAACTGTTTTGCACAGATGGCATCCAGCTAAGCTACAGATACAACTAATTTATTCATTACACACAATAATAATTATGTGTCACAAAAGATACTTTTAGACATAGATAAAATTAAACTTTTGTCTGAGTTCCAGAAATATATAAGTTTCATTTCTACTATTAGATCATATACTTAAAAAAAATATCTATAAATTGGTAAAAATTATAATTCAGTCATGATCTAACCTTGATGCTAACATAAATCCTGTTTGAAACTATATACGAGACAACAGTGATTAACCACACTGGTCTTTTTTTTTTTTTCAAATGGTAGAAAATTTCCTTTTGTAATTGAAACACTGAGATTCCATCTATATTACATATTTGATGTATACTATATATCCGCCAACACGTTTAAGTATAATTCCATACTAAAACAGTTCTGGGATGCTAGGTGGTTCCCTAGATCAGAAAAAAACATTTTTACTTTTCAGTAACAGTGAAAAAGACTTCTTAACCTGTGTAATAGTTCTATTGATTTTGTTTAGATCCCTAGATTAAGAAAAATGAACCTAAAAAGTATGAGTTTAATTCTTCATGTATCACTCATACATAATTCCAACATATGGTATTTTTTAGCCACCATATCCAAAAGCCAAAATTTTGCAACACTGTGCAAGAGAACAGTGGTGTACTGCATTAAAGTCCTGCAGGGAAGATTAGATCTCCTCTTTGATTACATATTAAAAATGTACAATAAGAAAACTCTGATAAATCAGATAAAGGCTAAGAGAAATAATTTGTTCACAGAACAAATCACAGAACATCTGAAGTTGGAAAGGACCCATAAGGATCATTGAGTCCAACACCCTGCTCCTTGTAGGACTACTTAAAACTACCTAAGGACTACCTAAAACTTCTTGGGAGGGAACCACTCCAGTGTACTGTAATCATGGGAGAACTGTATGATTTGAGCTTCCTCTGTCCATTGACTGGAGAAAATAGTTACCTAAGGAAAACAATATACATCATCCAGTTAAGAAAGGTTTGATTTAAATAAGCAAGCTCAAGATTTTTTTTAAAAAAGTGCTTTTGACGGAACATGTAATTAAATTACAAAATGTATGGTCACAGAATGTTGTTCCATAAGTGTAGCTGGCTATTATTGCATCCATGAAAAGCCATCAGAGGCTAATATAAACAAAGATGAAGACATGAACTTTGCTTCAGAAAGTCTCTAAAACCACAGCTTTATGGAAAGAGAGAAGGCATCATGAAACTGCTCTAAATTTGCTTAGCTTCCATATTGGACACTTTAGACAGGCTGCTGGCAGAGCAAAAGAGACCTTCGTTCTATTCTGCTACGTCCACTTTGGGTTCACAATAAAACTGTGCTGACTTTTTTTTTTTTTTAAAAAAAGTATGGAAATTAAAGAAATAGCCTATTTGAAATATTCACACAAGTTTTAGATTGCAATTTCATTTAAATCCCTATTAAGATCCTTTTGAAGAGAAAAGAAATGGTGATCAATTTACTATTCCTCACAGTTCTATTATGGAGGTAGTGGTGGACAGTAGGCTTTTTTCTTACCAAATAAATGTACTTCATTCTATAGCAAAACTGCCAAGAAGCAACAAAATTTAGCATTTTATCTACTTTTGGTGTACTCAACTGAGTGGTATAAAATGAAGCTAAAGTAATAGCCCAGAAACAAAGAAACATGGATCAGACACTTTAGGGGAGTGAAAAAAGAGAATAAGCCAGTTAATAATATGCTAAAGAAACAGGACTTCGAATGCCTTCCAAATAAAGTGTTGCAAAAGTCAGCTCTTTTTTTTTTTTCTGAAGAGTGCTACAGATCTGTGAAGTTACTAAAATAATGAAAAATTCCAATAATTGCTAAATCTTAACTTAATTTTGTGACTTCGAGTATGAAAAGCAGGAAAGAACTATTTTTGAATTAAAATTTTGATTGTTTATGTGTACATATACACATATGCAAACACTTCTATATTTAAAATGTTGACAAGAATTATTCAAACTAGAGAAGCTCAAGTGGCATTATAATAATATTCTCAAACATATGGAAGATGACTGTTACAGAAAACATTTTTTTTTTTTATGGAAAAGACTTTGAAGGCTTAATGGGATAATGTAGAAGCTCAGTATAGAACTGACTATTTGAAGAGAGTTTTGAGCAAGGATGCTTCATGATGACTGTTTCTGGCTGAGGACCAAGTCAAGAGAACCGCATTGTGATAGCTGAAATCAGCAGCGACATGAAAGACAGAGCACTTGGCAACTCAAGTGAGAAAGGAGTGCTCTAAGGGTATTTTCTGTGAGTCATATAGTTTTGGCATCTGGTTACCATTTTAACTCTTGATGAGGTTTATGACACACTACATGCTCTTCTTTCTCTGGAAAAACATTATTAATCAATTTGAAAAGGGACATTTTCTCCTTTAAAAATGTCTGTACTATTGCAGGAGATATTAACTTGTCCTACAAATAAATAACAAATATTTATTGCAAAAACATATGATAGAATTTGTTTAGCACATAGACAATGAACTTAGTTTAGTTCATTACTCTGCGAAAGAAAACTTAGAGGATCAAGAAATAAGTGTGTCTCATTTTCTCCAAAGAATGCCAATATGTGTTATATCAGGAGACACAGAAGACACGAGCTATTTCTGTCATTTCACTTGCCTTTGGGTAAGACTTCAGAAATACTCTAAAATCAAGGAGCATACTTGAGCTCAGATGGAGAATATCTGAAACTCTGCCAAGGACATCCAAAACAATGTATGAACTATTAACATTATTTTCTAAAGTCATATGCTCAATTTGTCTTGGAAAGTATGCTTGGAAACAAGTACCACAGGTAAACGTGAAAAGAACAGTGCCCATTATTTATTTCTCCACTCTCCTCTCCATATCATCTCACTAAATTAAATATAAGCATGCCTGGCCACAATGCTGCGAAGAGTGCATTTTAGCCTTAAGGTAAGTAATGAAGTTTTAATATTAAGCATCAAATGACAAGTTTCTTAAAATAGTTTCCACAATACCTGAAAGGCATCCTGATGTTCATTCTTTCTGCGTATTTGCACAACGTCTCCCATGGACAGTGAATTTTAACAAACATGATATCACTGTTTGTAACAGCTGGCTGTAAAGAGTGGTAACAAATAAATGCATATTAATAATTCAAATTATGGCATTCACCTTTCTAAAAGCATTCTTCAGGGTCAAATTCTGCTTTTAGGCCAAAGTGGCCATGCAAGTCTGAAAGCATTGCAAGTGTTCTGAGCTAGACAAAGGAGAATTAATAACTTTTTTTTTCCCCTTCTCCCAAGCCCTGTAATATGAGTAAGCTAGTAACTGTCAAAAGGAATCTGTAGTACAGATTTTCTCATAAACACAGCAGAAGCAGAGAAAGGCTTCATGAAGCATTTTTTGACATGGAATAAATGTCTTGATTTTAAATCGCCTCAAAATCATCTTAGACGAGCAGTTTGAAGACCATTCTGTCTCCCATTTAAGGAGAAGAGTGCTCAGCTGCTAGAGACATCACAAGAGCTAAGAGCAGGCTGCAGGTCCCGCTCTGCCAAAATGGTAACTCCAGGGAATGGTTAAGTAATTGCAGTATCTGCTACGAACATATAAATGTGATCTCTGTATGAATTGAGATTTTTTTGTAAAATAACAAGAAATACTCTACACAAATGTTTTTTCATCACTAATTTATTTGTACACAGAATGAGAGTTTCACCATTACAGGTTCCTATATTTATCTGTTCTTATGAACACTTCAGTTCCACACCCTTCTTCCAGATGTATGTGCTTGAGTTTTTATAAGTAAATATTTTGATAGAGTTGAGGCTGATTAAAGCCTCCCAAAAACCTCGAGTAATGCAAGGTTTGGTAAGTAAAGGTAAAAGAAAATTTAGTTAAAGGATTAATAAAATTTAAAATATTCGCGATTCTTCCTACCAGTTCCATAAAGTCATATCACAGTTCAATAATACTACTTCTAGGATGTTCTTTTTCTCACAAGATGTGGGTAAAATAAATTCTACTGGAAGACAATTTAAACCACTTGATATCTAGAATTATGATCTTATAAAAACATTTTTTTTCTGTAGTGTCACTGAATTGACTCCAGCTGAGCTTGTTCTGATTTCCATAAATATCTCAAAATCCGATAATTTTTTTCTATTAGGCTCCAAACAATTTTTAAAATCCTTAAAACCAAATTTTAAACTACTGTCAGGTCGGTTATTTATGAATATTCAACATGCTACATTGTCAGCTAGAACTTCCAAGGACTTCAAAACAGTTAAAATCTCACTGCTGTAACACAGAACATGTAAGCTAATTGTATTGAGTTTAAAAGTATAAATCAGGATGAAAGACACATGAAGTATAGGAGCAAAAACCAGCAAAAATCCAAAGCTGTTCTCTTGGCTCTGTTTTCTTTCCTTTTTATATTAATATTGGTATTAGTGCCATCCCAATCACAACAGCAACAATTTAACATGTTTGTGAGATGGTTCTAGATCGATAAGTAAAGGCATTTGCCCACAATTTTGCAAGAGGAACTGAAAATTCCTGAACATCCACCACACTTCACTACCACACAGCAGGGAAGGAAAAAATAAAACGCAAGCTAAACCACCATTTCCTATAATTTATTTTTTTGGCAATGTAAAGAGCACCTTAGTTTTAATATTTATTTAGAAGATGGATTGTGAGCACCTAGGCACAAACCATAATTAATCTCTATGCTACCAGCAACTGTATTTGGAGCCTTGAAGAGGTGTTAACTTGGAATTTTGGGAAAACAAACTATAACAGATCAGAGTCAAGATGACAAAATGACACCCATGCAACTAGAAAAAATAATTTTAAAAAAATCCCCTCTAATGCTAAAAGTTTTTTTAAAGTTTCAGTATTTTTTTTAAAAAAGGAGGAAGGATTTGAAAATGAAACTCTGCATTCTGCATAAAATATGAATTTCATTTTTAATACCATTAGAATAAAAAGCCTTTTTTTTAAAAAAAAATGTATTCAAAAACTTTAGAAGTCTAAATAGTAGCACTTCAATTGTAAACTAGTCTAGCTTAAAGAACCCAATACAGATTATGCCATGCAAACTCGAGATGGATTAACTACATTGAAAATCTTTATCCCTTTAGAAACAGAGACATCTAGTGTCATGCATTCTGCTGAAAGACATAGAGGTTATATATTAAAGCCACAATATGAGTTACCAAAGCTTCTTCTGTTTCGCAAGCATAAAGAACTGGAAGTTTTCCCTCTATACTGCACTACACCTGCACCAATTTAAAAGTGATCATACTTTGAGGGGTACATGCATGCGTGTATATGCGTACAAGCACGCCCCCCAAAAATGTTAAACACACTATCAAACAATTGTTATTATTCATTTAATAGAACTAAACAAAACCTGACTGGAAAAGCTTATAAGATTGTCAGGAATCATTTACAAATCAAATAAAGTATGACAGTACTATAAAGATTTTTTTATACCACATAAGCTAAAAGACTCACCTCTCGTTCCAACATCAGCCCTTCTGCTCTCAAATTCTTCTCAAACGTGCTTCTTTTTTCTACCTGTGGACTTGACTTTTTGTAGACCAATATGTAATCAATGCGTTTTTTGCCATCTTTGAAGAAAAGGCCTGATGATGCCATGGCATCTCTCTGGAGAACATAAAATAAAAATACATTAAATGCAACATTCATAAAGATGAAGAGCCCCACCATGAGTTCTCCATCACGATTTCTGTGAAACACAGCATTTCCTAAAGCATGGAAGTGTCCACATATCCACAGGATGAATGTATAAAGAACAACTCACAAGAAACAGCAGTTCACATCAGTTTCTCTGTATTTCAAATTAATTAGAACAAACCAAAATAAAATAGTTCCACAAACCCCATATTCTAGCTATTTCTTTCAGCTGCGGAAAAACCTTAAAATTATTTTATGGTATATAGAGACATAAACTTCTCCTAATCCTTACTTACCAGTAGGAATTAATAAAATTTAAAGAGAAGTAAATTAAACCAAGTTTCCCAGCTTTGAACTTGGGCAAATTTTATTTACAAACATATTTTCTCCAAAAAGATAATTAAATCTAAAAAAAAGAAGCACTATTGATTGGAATGTTTTCCTGGATGTTCCCGTTGAAGCGCTTTTTCAATATCATGTAAGCAATGTTTAAATCTTGTCTGGTTCCTTCCCACCATGCTTGCAAACACCAGGGATTTTCTGACCTTGATATGGAAAACCCTGCTTTACATGCCACTGCTGAAAACTATTTTTTGCATTCTGTGTTTTGCATGATTCAGAATAGACAGTGACTATATCAACTGATGCCAGACTATGAAGACTTTGAAATCTGAAAAGGTAAACTGAGAAACTATCATCATCTTTTGGAGAGCACAGAGCTCATTTTAACACAAACTGCCCAGAACAAGTATGTTAGTTTGAAGTATGATACATTACACTCACATATATGGGACCAGAAGTCTATGAATGCTGCATCTTTTAGCCAACAAGATGTTAGTCTTAGAAATTCATCGTATTTGGATAGTTTGAGATGAAATTTATATACTCAGAGTTATATCCAATAGTTACGCTTTCTACTGATAAACAGAACTAACTGGTAGTACATGATAATAACAGTATAAATACTGGATACCAGCTCACTTGTTTCTACATGAAAGGTTTTTCTTACTCCCACATACCTCACTGCCAATTTTCTATGTATTTAGTGCTTCTGAGAACTCTGCAGTCTGCAAAAATAAAAAGTTTCCTAACAAGATTCTTCCTCTTTGTCATCCTGAGACTACCTAGTGTCATCCTCGGACTATCTAGTGTTACAAAAAAGAACATCATCACACATCTGGTGATGGCATCAATTGTCTTTCTTTTCCAGATGACGCTTTTCAAAACTAACCATAAAAGCATTCTGTAACCTGCTTCAAGGCACATACCTGCTTATTTATTTTATTAACAAGTCTGTAAATATGAGTGTTACAAATCTCAGCTTTGTCACACTTGGCTAGAATCATGCTGTCACTTTCATACTCTGCTTCAGGTGCAACCATCCAGATGTGGAAGCAAATTCAGTCTTTGGAACACAGGAGAGGTGAATTGAAATCCCTCCAGGCCAAGCCAAAACTAACCTAAGTCTTCTACTACCTGGGTAAAGGTCTTCATTTCTGAGCATAAAAGGTGGTATCCTTGTCTTTTCTCTTTGAATTGGCAGTTGTCATTTTCACAATTTTCTCTTTGCTTCACATGCAACTTGGTGTGAGACGTGTAACTAAGTCAGGGCTACAGAGGGCAGCACTGGGGCTTTTGGCGTATAAGCACTGGTTGATCACTGCCACGCTTGTCTCCTCCTGTATGCCCAGGATGCTGCCACCTTTTATCCATCACAAAGTAACAGATAATGTAGAATTCAGAAACCTCTGAATATCTGCCCTTAACCTAACTGAGAGCAAATGCTAATTTACGATGGAGGAAGAAACTGGTCAAATCACAGAAAATGTAACACAATCTAAAGTAATGAATACATTATAGAATGCGATTAACCTGAATTTAAGAACCTATTTAGAGTCAGTTATACAGATCACCTACATGTAAAAAAACTCTAAAAACTAAAAGACTCCCAAAAAACCCAAACTACTAAATCGAGAGAAAAGAGGAACGAAGGCAGAGAAGACAAGATGTCCAATGCAACCAAGAGAAACAACATGGAAACCAGCAAATAATTAGGAAAAACAGACAGACATAGGACGAACAATTTTCCAATTCTAAATTATTTTGGAAGTTTGTTGAGAACAGGAAATATCCTTTCCTTTTGTTTGACATTTGACTTCAGATTTTCCTTTTTTATTCCCATGAGAAATTAAGTTAAACATATCAGAAAAAATAAGGAAAATAATTTATCAATATATTAATCAAACATTTGTTGAAGAATGGCATACCCTGTACTCTATTAATTTATTTTTTTCATAAATTCCTCTATTTCTATTTATCTCAAGATATTCAGATAAATAGCATCTGAAGTCCAAATTAAGGTAGTTGAGGTTGTTAATCAAGATTATCGCTGCACTGAACACAGGGTCTGTCACCTTCTAAGAATTCTGAATGGGAACAGTAGTAAAAACATCATTTTTTAATCTTTTTTTTAAAAAATGTCATAGATGTAGTGATCTAAAGATACAAGATGCAGAGGTTTGAAGGTGAAGTAGTGGACTAAAGGTTTCAAAGTGCAAGTTTGAATACACAAGTTTTTGAATGCCCAAACTTTTTTCAGGTTCAAGGCACAAAAAATGAACCCTCTCCTCAACAATGCAGAATTCCAGCACAAGTATTTCACAAAAGAAGACTAGAGTTGCTTTTACAGTCCATGAAGCAGGCAAAATCAGATACAAAAAGCTTGGTCATAATTCCCCCAAAGGGGAGAACTGGAACTTCTCTTATACAATTTCTGCTTATGCAATTTTGTACAGATATTCTGCAAATTAAATCTACCTTTTTTGTAATACACCTCTAACTTTCTTTCGATTATTATTTCTAGCCTTTCTTTCCTCATTTCTAAAACATCTGCTTTTCTTCAGTCTTGGAAAAACATGTTTTTTTTCTCAGATTAACAACAATATGCAAATATGCCCTCAGATTCACCTGCACCAAATAGAATTATATGGGGGCAATGTTCAATAAATAATGAGCTGCACTAACAGTAGAGAGAAATTTTCCATCAGCTCACCTCAGACGACTTTCAGAGGAGTACTGCCACAGGTTGAGATGCACGATACTGAAGCCACTTACCACAATTGTGCAGTGAACCCAGCCTATACTCGATGGATTGCAAGACTGATTCACTTCGCTGCTACTTCCACTTTGCTAGTTTCAATTTAGTGTTATTTTCAAGCAACACTGTCCACCTGTATTTGCAGGAATACCTGCGCCAGTAATAGAATCTATCTGGTGATTTAGGTGTTTTTTTCAGTTGATCTGAAGGAGCTCCACAACACTTAAGCAGAACAGGGAGCAGTAATTTCAATGAAACATCTGAGTCAAGGTATACTGGCCACTACTGACACAGTGAATCAGTCTTATAGTAAAATGGGCTTTCAGGCAAAATTACGCTTACTATTTATCTGCTGGTTTGGACCAATACATCTCTGATTAATCCTTTCACCTTTTTCTTGACACAGTGGAGGAGAAAAGCATCGGAAGAAATATCTTATGCAAAGCCCTTACTCTCCTCTACCCTTTTTAAGATTTCCTGTTTCACCTGGAAAATCTGTATAAAAAGGACTGATCAATGTTTTTCTCTCTATTTTTCTTCATCCTTTCTACCCTCTTACTTTTCCAGATTTTCTGAAACAGAATGCACCTGATCAGCTTTCCTACATTTACACACATCTGAAGACTTAATTAAGTTTGATTTGAGAAATTCCTTTTCGAGGACCGCAATATAGTTCAGCTTGTAAACCCTCTGAAGTTAAACAAGTTTTAACTTCACCTCGTTCTTCCCAAGTCTTTCAATACAAGAACTTTACATCTCATCTCCTTGTATACTGAGGCCACGAAGGGCTTCCTCACTCAACAGTGAACTTGTTAATAATGCAGAATTGTAATACACTGGTTTGCATCAGATTAAAATATTACCTAAGGCTTTGCCAATATAGATCTGTTCCTGTTCCGTGGTTAGCTTTATTTGCCATCATTTTTTGGTTGATTCATAGCTTGTGATTATTAAAACAAATAACATGACACACTGCTTCGAAGTCTGAAACAGTATAAAATTCAAAATATTGACATAATCATTCAAATGAAGTTTACAGTTTACACAAGACAAAACAAGTTGATCAATTTAACCTAGAAAAAGAAGCTTTTGCTCAAGCAAAAAAAAAGCAAAATGAGAGTAAAATGCAAATATTTAACAAGTTATAAAATAAAAAGAGTTTATATTTCTATTCAAATTTGGTACAAGAAAAATTTCCTCGGACTCTGCCAAGAAAGAGGGAGTTTTCAAGAAACTATTTTTCAAATTCTAATTAATAAGCAATGCCCTCTTTTTAAAGTGGGAACAGCTGTTTTACAGGCTCTTTCTCTCTCCAATTAATTTAAATAGCACAATTCACAGAAATTTTAACTATTCAACTCCATCGATTTCAGTCTATTGTTCTGCTCTACAGATTAAACTTTTGCCAATTTTTCACCCCATACATAGAAACTAATATTCTAGAGGAGTGAGCTGGAATCATTCCCAAAACAGTAAGCAAATTTTAGATTCATGTAAGAGTAAATGACATAGTACGGTAGGCTTCAGGTTTGGTGTATTTTATTAATAGCAAAACCACTAGCAAATTTTGAAACGTACTGAAAATTAGTGGAAAAATACACTGTAAATAATACATCAGTATACCTTCTTTTTTTTTCCACTTTATACCAGTGAAAAGTTTCAGTTAATGAATAATATGTATCACCTAGGTAAATTCAGAGGTTAATTAGAACCACATGTAGATACAACCGTACCCCTAATGTACATTATATAAAAGAAAAATTGCTATTTTTTAAAGCAATTGTTATTTGACTAAATATGTACAGTCCTCTTATAACAGACTTTCTTACCAAACATCACAATTATCTATGGTCAGACATGATCTATTAATAAA